GTAGAATTCCAAAAGTCCATTTTTCATAAAGTTGTTTTTCCCAATGTTGGAGCCATAGATGAACTTGGAACTTTTCACGTACACAAGATACATTCCCTAGGGAATACATATCAATAAATTGAAAAAATTACTCTTGAGCAACTACTAAAATAGTCTGGATTCTTCTTAACGGCTTTCATTAATATAATCAGGGCAAGAATACGTCGAGAATCGTCATCCTGACTCCAGACCACGCACATTTTCTAAGACAAAGGTTACGTTAATGAAACAAGCAAACCTTCATTAAGGCCTGGAGTAACTTTGGGTACTTGGAAAACTTTCCGATATTATTGAGAATCTTCCTCAGATCAAGTACACTCTCTTCTAGCATTGCCTTTAGCTGACCCTAAAAGGATTAGACCTAAGGGGAGACACAAACCATGGCTGCTGGGAAGAGCTTTCTCACTTAATTAAAAAACAGATTTAGATGTAAGCCCGGCTCAGAAGACTTAGTCCAGCGCGAAGTGCAATACGCAACAATCTACCGCCCAAGCAAAAGTGGACGGGCAAAAACGTGAGGCGAAAACCGAATAAGCCGCGATGAATTCCGGTTAGTTTTAAGAATTATAGTTTCGTTTTTTAAATCGCTCATTTTGGATTTTAATTATCGAACAAAAGTTGTCAATCCCTTAAGATCATTAGATATCTTACGAGATCTGTGTTGGCGATTTCAGCGCCGCGTATTAAAATAAGGAGTCGTCTGAAAGAAATGTCCATTTGATTATAAATAGATGTCGTAAAGGACAAGGTGTCGAAATCTATGGAATAAGACGAATTCCTCATGGAAGACAAAAATTATTTAATGGCAGTTAATTCCACGAATTTTTCATCACTGCTAGCAATATCCCAATGCATTGTAGATAGAACACATAAGTCCGGCTACACAAGGACAATAATTCGGGATCTCTGGATCTCTGGATCTGGCCCTTGAACTTCTGGATTCTCCGGTGCCCTTGCACAATCTTTCGAAATGTCAGTCCATTGAAATGAGCCTTATATGAATATGCTGTAATGTCGGGGGAGCAT